GTAAAAAAAAAAAAAAAAAAAAAAAAAAAAAAAATGATTGGAATTTTTCTTTGAGATATGTTTATTTTGAAAAAGATAAAGATAAAAAAAAAAAAAAATAAAAAAGATTTATTTTTTATTTTTTTGGAAAGAGAAGAATTTTATTTGAGAGAGAGAGATTTTTTTTTACAAAAGATAAATGTTTATAAAAGAGTTTAATTTGTATAATATTTATATTTTGAATTTGTGAGAGAAAATTTTATACATATGACAATAAAATTTTCACGTAATTAATATTCATATAATTTATTTGCATTTTTACTAATTTTTAATGTTTGTTAATTCGACAGCAATATGTTTAAATTGCTGAACATAAATCATAACAAAGAAATAAATAAATTACAATTATATAATAATCAATATTCAATAAGGATTTAAATTTTTAATAAAAATAAAGATTTTTATTAAAGTAAATAATTGCATATTGAAAGTAAAGAATGCTGAACCAAGTAGAGCAAATAATTAAGAATTACTCGTTCAAAGAATATAAAAATATATATAAATACAACAAAATCGTAGAGACACCTTTACATGCTCTTTATTAATTGGTTTGTTAAGTACTCTAATAAAGTCACCGAACACCCAGTTAATAAAACACTTTGCTAGAGTACTGAACAAACAAATTAATAATGAGCATGTAGAGTTTACTCTATAGTTTTGATGTATTTGTATACATTTTTAAATGCTTTGAAAGAGTGATCCCTAATTATGGGATATATTTCGTTCAACATTCTCTAATTTTGATAGGCATTTATTTACTTTAACAAAAATCTTTATTTTTATTAAAAATCTAAATCCTTATGGAATATTGACTATTAATTAAATGTAACTTAATTATTTCTTTGTTATGATTTATGTTCAGCAATTTAAACATATTGCTGTTGAATTAACAAACATAAAAAATTAGTAAAAATGCAAATAAATTATATGAATATTAATTACGTGAAAATTTTATTGTCATATATATATAATTTTCTCTTACAAAATTCATTAAAATCATATTTCATTTCAAAAAAAAAAATCTTTTTTTTTTTTTTTTTTTATTCATTGGTAAAAAATCATTTTTAATTTGATTTTTTTTCTATCAAAATTTTTTTTTTCCTTACGGTATTTGTATTTTTTTTTTATAAAAAATACAAACAAAAAAAATTTGATCATTTTTTTTTTTTTTTTTGTGTATGCATGACCGTCTACGTATTCTTCATATAACTAGTCCTTTTATTAACCATTTATATATACTTCCCGTTTAGATAGCTCTAATATTTTTACCTTATTCTTAAATACCATAAACTGTTTTAAATATTCTTGTAAAGATTTTTCATTAAATTTCGGAAGTTCTGATATTTTAACTTTGATTGTTTCATTTTTTTTTTCTAATTTTAAACAGATATGATTATTTAAAATTTATTATTTCCAATAGTACCCTTAATCCAAAGATTGGCAAATCTTTTTCCATTGTTTATTGGTAATCCAACGTAGGTAAAACTTACGTTGGCTTTGATTATTCCTGCCATTGTTCCTACGTGATTTATTAATTGGCTGTATAGTGATCTAACTAGTATCAAATAATCAAATTAATAAAGAGCATGTAAACTCTATTTAATTTTAATTTTTAAATTTTTATTTTTTTTAATCAACATAAAATGATACTTATTATTTTTTTTTATGTTAGTTTATATAACTCTTCAAAATATAATTTCCTTAATATTGCATTTTAACTTAAGAAAAATATAT